CCCCAAAACCCCAAAACCCCAAAACCCCAAAACCCCAAAACCCCAGACCAAAGATCTCAGATTGAATAAAAAATAAAATATGGCAACTAATTGGACCAAGTGACTTGTAGTTATGCTCATAGTTGAGATGGCAGCTTGTGAATTTGGGCATATACAATTTTTAGATGTTGATCCAACCTTGAACAGTTTAGTTGCAAAATTTGAAAGAAATAATAAGATTATTATGTCAATAATTCAAGCGATGAAGCTTATAAGAGATAACTTTGTGAATTATAATATTGATGTTATCAACATCGTTAACCTTTGAAACATAATTCTGGATTTGGTTTTAAGAATATTCTATTGAGACTCCCTGAGCTGAATAACTCCTGCAGCCGCTATTTACAGATTTTTCCGTGAATTCAGAAACTTCAGCAAAGAAATTGTCATAGAGTTTCTTTATGGCTATAGAACCCTAATTGCCTTATATTTTAGGAAAGAAGCTGGCATTATTACCAAGATTATTGAAGATAAAGGTTTTGAGACTTTTACACAGAATTCGACCTGCATTCGTATGAGAATTGGGAAGTACTTCATGCCAACATTTGAAGGCAATGACACTTCAGATTGCTCGGAAATTGATGGGATCATTAGAAATTTCTCTGAACAGCCAGTGGATCCGAGAATCGACTGCTTACTCTTCTTTAGAACGCTCATAGTATTTATTGCTCTTGTCTGTGCTAATTATTTTTGCTTTCCACTTCTTTCAGAGGAATGGGAGAAAAGCAAAATACTATATTCTCAGCCTTTGGTAGAAATGCTTTCAGATCGAAGAAATGCGAGTTCTTCAAATTTTTCTCAACTTTCAGAGGAAGAAAATCAAATAATTTCGGAGTCAAATAGCTTTTCTTACGAAGAAGAAGATTCTTTAGTCGGTCCCAACCCTGCTGATATCTCTTCAGAAAGAGAGATATTTTCTTCTTCTCATTCTTAGTTGAGCACATCTGATTTGAAGAGAGTTCAAATTTGGCCGATTAAATTTTATTTCTATGTTTCAATGGCTAAAATATCATCAGGGGTTTTGGGGTTTTGGGGTTTTGGGGTTTTGGGG